TGCTTTCATATTAATATTATTGAAATATTTTTTGACCCCACCAACATACTTCCGCAAGCTTTGCATCCAGCTTTTTTCCCCTGTATCGTTTTTCCATTGGCATGGTTACCTGATGGAAGCGCTCTCCTTGTTCATCCGATTCAGTGGGCAATTGTTGTAAAAATTCATCTAGGTGAAAATGGAGGAAATGCAATTTTAATGTCATGGATACATTAATTTTTTGAAAATAATAGAGCATTTGGCCCATCAATTTCTTCACTTCGTCTCGCTGCACACGATTCTTCCCTAAAACGCCCTCGATTACAGCTTTTAGTGCATCCCAAGCATTCCGGTGATCGTTCTTAAGGATTTTTGTGAACCTATCGTTTGCAGTTAACTTTCTGATATCTGGTTCATTAATCACACCTGTTAAAAATTTTATTCACAATTAGAATCAAGCGAAGTTGATGGCCGATACGTCATCACGGTATTACTCAAGTTCAGGCGAATGACATTTAAATAATTTAACCTCAATACGACAAGATGAAAAACAAATGCAAATGTCCGAACTTAAGTCATACCGTGATGACGTATTGGCCATGTTCTATCGGCCCAACTATATAAACATGTTATAATAATTATAATTATTATTTATAAATAGCAGTTACCATGTTTAATTTTGTCGTTGCTAAGTTTTGGAAATATGGTTTTCAAACAGTCAAACACTTCATCATCATCCTTAACAGCCACTTCGATGAATTTTTTAACAATGCCCAATTTAATGTGAAGCGGAGGCAGTAATATGGCATTAATGTCCTTTTTTAAAGGATCATTAACCAATTTTAATTGTGGTTTGTTTTCGGGAGTTCTTCTAACCCAATCCTTACAATGATATTGGTCCACTTTGCTTCGTGAATCCCAATTACATAGAAAACAAAAGTATTTAGGAAAACCACCCTTTGTTATAATACCTTGTAATATGTTGACTTTTAAATCACAGCATATTTTCCATTTATGATCATTATAGTTGATTTTCTTTAATATATTGTTCAATGTATCATAAGACTCCTTCATATTTGTACCCAATGCTAAGGGAATAGACGGTTTTTGGTTTGTTTTGTGCAACAGCACAGCTTTCAAACTTGAAACGGACTCATCAATGAATAAACGCCAATCTCTAGCAACGTACTCCATTCCCAAATTATTAGCGAAAGTTTTGATGTTATTGCAGTAAGTGAATATATTTGTGGTATCACTGGTATATAATTTCTGAAACTCACTTTGGCGTTTCCTATATGCAGTGATGCTTACATTCTGCTCTGTGAGTTTCCTATGCTTCAAGTATGAGGTCAAAAATTCAGAATTTCGCTGTGATAAATTCATCTTAGCCACAATGTAGTCCATTTCTGTTTGTGTAGGCGGTTTTCGTTCTTCGTCTTCGGAATTGTCTATATAATTTGCATCTTGCAAATTGGTTCCATCGGCAAAAACGCTATCGCCTATCAATTGGGACAAAACATCGGGGCTTGGAGCTTTGGGTGGTTCTACGTCTTCAAGGAGTGGCAGTGGAAGTGTGCCAGTAAAAGCGGCAACATATTTTTTTAATTTCGATTTTGTCCTGTTAATTCGAGGGACAAAATTAATACATGCGTAGCACCTGGATGCATCATGACCGTTTGGGTCTTTTATCCAGATCACTGGCTTAGAAAAATGCATATTCCTTCTTCGTCGATGTAAACAATGCATCAGATTGATATAGCAGTTATTGCATACTGTATTTGGCGTAAAATCTTCAACACTCGAATCCGCTTCGTCAAAATATAAAGTGTATGCTTTTTTAAATTCTTCAGTGAAGAAATTTTTTCGATCTTTCTGCTGCAATTTAGGCACTAAATGATCACACACGTAACAAAATGCATTTAATTTTGGACACTTGCTATTTTCCATAATAACTTGTTCACTTAAAATCACTTATCTGAGCTACAGGGAATTTGTATCGCACGACGCTAATAGCAACAAAACGTGAATGATTAAAGTATGCTGTTTTTGGGTTAATTTCTTATGTACTTTTTTTCTTCTAGTTGATAAATACTATTCCGCTACAGAAAGAGAAACAATACACAGTTAATGGGAAAACATTAACTGATTTCAAAAAATAATAAATATATTTATAGACATTTAAAAGGGAAAAATAATTAATAGGTAATACGTTAAAACCTTTCCAAACTTTATGCCGCATTTATAGATTTTATAATATTATGTCTTTTGATGTGTTGAACAGACTTCGAAAAGATTTTAATGTCTCTAATATATAAATAATTATTGTTAATTTTTGCATCTAATATATTTTATAAAGTCAGTTTTTTTAGTAAAACTTATTTTCACATTTTACTGTAAATTTTCCTAAATTCGGCTTCCAAAACCGCCCCATCATGTCATCTTGAGAATGAGACAACCCATGGAATATACCTTTTAAACCAAGAAACAATTTTCAAAACGGGAAGTTGATGAAATGCCAATATAAAAATTAATTTCCATTTTTTTCATACTTAGGGGTGGATTTTTTTCAATAAATTTATATACCCTACACATTATTTAAAGAATTAAAAAAAAAAACAGTTCACAGTTGGCGAAGATATCTCGTATCATAGCTTCAAAACAGACTTATTTGTAGTTTAATCGCCAATTTTTCACCCAGGGTGTTATTTTTTTATATAATTTTTATGGGATCATCCCTAACAAAAACCCTACAAATTAAAAAAAATTATATTAAAATCGGTTATCAATAGGCCAATATATCCTACAACATACACAAGCCTGAGTCAAAATTTTCAAAATGCAATAAAATCCTTATTGGAAACAAACTAGCAAAACCCAACTGGGGTTTTTCTACTGTTATAAAGTACTTTAAAGAACACCACTCAAAACGGTGTTTACATTTTTAGTGTTGCACTGTGTTATAAGCTTAGAAAATAAGTTTTTCCTCTTTAAGTACTTCGACGATCTGCGTAAATTTGTCCAGCGGCACTGTTCGCTAGGAACGCTTGTAGGTGTTTAAAAATATATTTACTAAATGCTATGTTTTTCGGTCTATATTTTTTCATCAAATATACTTGGTTGCCAATTTTGGCCGAAACCGAAACCAGCATTTCTGTTTGAAACTGACCTAAACCGAAACTTCGGTCGGACACTTATTATTATAAAACATGCTGAATATAATAAATTTTAAAAAATATGGATTTGGTCTTAAGTACCTATCTGATTATGAAAATATAAATTTTTAGCTATTTTGTGTAACCCGGTAAATCACTATGGACAAAGCGATATTTTTTCAAAAAATGCATTATTTTGAGCATGTTTTAATATATATTATAATATCCATTATAATCCACGATCAAAATTCCCAGCGACATTTTTTAGATATTTTTAAAAGCAAAAGTAATAAAAAAAATAACAAAATATATATCGCCGTTAAAAATACGTGAAGGGGTTTTGAATATATTGAAGCTAAAATTATTTGTAGAAAAGAAGTGATCTTTATTTATATTTTTGTTAAAAAAATTATTTATTTTTTTCATATTTTTTTAAGTACAGGGTGTCCAGAAAGGATAGGGGGTATTTGTAAGTTCAATAAAAATAGACAAAGTTTTGAAAAATTAAGTGCCAAAGATTTTGTTGTCCAAATGTTGACCCTCGCGCTGCTGGCATTCCTCTAACCGAAAACGGAAATTCACTATTGCGCCTCTACACATATCTCTGTAAACAGCGGCCATTTCAGTGCGGATCTTGTGCAGGAAAATTCGTGGTCTGTTTTTATAAACTTTATCTTTAACGTTTCCTCATAAAAAAATAATCAAATGATGTAAGATCGGCGCTTCTCGGAAGCCAGTTAATGGTGCCACGTCGAGAGATGTAAGGCCCATTGATTCCTTCATCACTTGATTATTTTTATGGGGATACCTTAAAGAAAAAGTTTATGAAAATAGACCACGAACTCTCCTGCAATTGAAGCACAACATCCGCAACGAAATGGCCGTTGTTTTCAGAGATATGAGTAGACGCGTGATAGTTAATTTCCGTTTTCGGTTAGAGGAATGCTAGCAGCGCGAGGGTCAACATAGGGACAACAAAATCTTTGGGACTTAATTTTCCAAAACTTTGTCTAAGAATTAAAAAAAAAAATTTCATTCTGACTTGCAGTTTTATTTTTATTGAATTTACAAATACCCTTTCTGTACAACCATGTACATTTTTTTTATTTAATTGCAAAAATTCCGTTGCATACTTTACTTCTCCTAAAATTCTCCAAAAAAAATCCTAAATTCCTAAAAAAAAATGTGCAATTTAGCCTTAGGAGCCCTGCACTAAGCATCCGCTATGGATATCCTTTTCATGAAATTAATGATTTCACCATCCACTTTATAAATTAGAATGCAATGAGCGGATGCGTTTTATGAAGTGGACCTCCTTTTTATCAACTGAGCACGACATACATTAATGTATAGGTAAATTTTTTTATCAATATCGGAGCACTTAAGTTACGGAAATTTATAGCGCGCTACCCACTATGAATTCAGCTTAAAACTTAAAACGCGAATATCTCGGAATCACGATTTTGTGAAAACCAATTTACTGATTAATCTAAAATTGTAAAATAATGTTCCTACTTACAATATCTCGATTTTTTTTGGAAAACGAGGAAGGTAATACACATAAACTGATGTATTTTTTTAAAATTCAGTTAAGATGTTCTTCATATATTATGCTCCATGCAAACGATAAAAAAGGTGTTTCGGAAAAAAGGCCGTATTTTTTACAATGCGAGATAAATGCATACAGATTGCTTGAATTTCTCATACATAAGAGAAAACCCACTCCATGCGAGAACAATGCTAAGCACGTTTGGGCATTTGGAATGGTAAAATAAAATTTAAATCAACTAATTTAAACTAAAATTCACTTGTTATAAAATTATTTACTTCATTAATTATTAATTATTATGTTTGTACTTTTTATTTTAGAATTAAAATGAACATATTTTAAAAGTAAGAATGGATGGCAGCAGTAATTTGAACATTGAAAAATGTTCATGTAATAATAAAAAGGATCAAATAGTCAAAAACAATATTCATGGTTTAAATACAAAAAATGAAAAAGCCAATAGCAATAGTAAAATAAATTTTTTTAACTTTAATAAAGGAAGATTTAGTACAAGAAAGGACAAAAAGCATAGTACTCCAACCCCTAGTACTAGTAAAAAATCATTTAAGAAGTCTCCTAAGTGGAAAATTAAAATAAATTGCACAAAAAAGGAACCAAAAATTGCCTATAATCAAGAAAATCAATCATCTTTCACTTGTATATGTTATCGACGAACGAATGAAATGACCAATAACGAAATTTGTCCTAAAAAAGATAGGGTTGCTGAAAATGAATCGGAAATTATTAATAAAAGTACTACTAATGATTTTGAAAAAAATATTGATTTGGAAGAAAGAGATGATTATAACGACGACGACGATGATTTGCCTGAACCAGAAAACCTCTCTAGATCAGATGATAGAGTTATACTATATGGTTCAGCAGGCACTTCTTCTAGCATGGTGATAAGCTCCTCTTTAGCTGATATGCAATGGTAAGTTTTATAGGTAAAAACTACTTAATAAACATTACTGTTTAAATTTAAATACAAATCAGATTTTACCCTAGTGTCAAAAAAGGCAAAATCGTTTTTGCTCTCTCACATGAACATTTCATAGAATACCTCTGTCTGTCCAAATCCCAATCCTTAATTTTAATTTGAAGAGGAGCATAATCGAGTTTTAAGATGTTCTATAGGAATAATACAGGAAAGGGTTTATTTTTGTTTTTTCTATGTAGCCATTTTTTTCTTCTTCATGGAGTCAAGTTTTTATTGTATATATTTTACCTATAAAAGGATTTAGAAAATGCAAAAAAACGGGGTTTTTAGGTTTTTAAACTAAACTATTAATAATAAACCAAAAAGTTAAATAGCTACGTTTTAGCACATTCAATGTTTTACAAAATTGTTTGCCCAAATTGGTTGTGTCATTATTAGTTAAAAAGTTATAGACTATTTAAGTTATTATTTTTCAGTTGTAGGAGGTAAATTAATGACTGTAGAAATTAAAGTTACTGCACAAATTAAGAGTACGTTTGATGCTCTACAAAATTTCTCAATCTTTTTTCTCATCGCTATTGGTCCTCCCAAACTTATTTTTATAATTTTTTGTTGGATATCTAGTTTAAAAATTCAATTTAACTATGCTTATTGCACAATTAAAAGAAATATCGGTAGATAAATATTGTAGAGAACAGTAAGTTATAACACACTTTAACTAGAAAAAGTAATATTATTATAATTTTTAAATACTATTTACCTATTACAATTGTACTTTGGCGACCCGTTGACATCAAAATCTAAACTTCCTTGTACAAATAACCTTACTTCCTGTTATCACTAGTCTTTTAATTTTGACAGCGAACTAAAAAAATTGTCAATATTGTAAATTTACTATTTACAGATTTATACATGGACAACCAAATTATGACGTTCAAAATTTTGTGTCCGCCACTGTACAAAATAGAACAAATAAATGTTAAGTTTATTGATCCACGAGGATACGTGTTATCTTCTTTATATGTCAGATCTGACTTAACTGTGTCTATAGTCGTTTCACTAAACTACATATTCCGCAACTGCACAGTATTACCTCATGGGTAGTAAAACTCCCTTGGAAGACCCCTCCCGGAATTTTGTCGCCGGACCGGGCTATACGCCTGTTTTTTTTAAGCTACTGGTGTTTGGGACAAGAAGGGAACACATTTTGGTTTTCGGGGGACTGACTCAAAACTAAGTACAATCCGGGAATCCCCCTAGACCCGGTTTTAGTAAAACCCACATTCAATTGGGGTTCATAAAAAGGGCTTGGCTGGTTAATACGCTGTAGTGGCCTATCTTGCTTCTTGTGTTACTTCTTGTTCGTCTGCGTCCGGGTCACTGCTGAAATTATGCTGAAAATTCGGTAACCGCTTTAGAATTGGTTGCCCCACTGTGCGAAAACTAAATCATGGCTTTATGGAGGCGGCCACTTCGGTTGTTTACCCAATATATGGCCCCCTTAAACATACCTTGTAGTCTTCAGATGTTTATTTCTTTAGGACAATATTTTTTTCTTTGTTGATTTTTTTCTGCACTTGAGTAATTTGACGGTTTATGGGAGCTGTTTGTTTACGGGATTGTTACTTTGGCTATGCTTGCATTTTTTTTGGAAACTTGTGGCAAATAATAGTTATTTACCTGGAGGAGTTCTTTGTTTGTTTCGGTTGCGAAATTCGCGATAGGATTAAGTATTGGTATTATCTTAAGGTTAAGGTCATGCAATTAAGGTAATTTTACTTGTCCGGTTTATGCCGATTTTGAATTTGGGTGCAATGACACCGTTTGGCAGGTGCGATGAAGTTGGCTCGTGACCTCGACCGCTCACTGGCATGTTAATCCAGAGAAGATTAATCGCTGTAACCCTTCACCTCACTCACAAAAATTTTCACAGGTAGGGCGTCTGTGCTTCAGGTGAGGGTGCCACTGGCACTATTTACCTTTTTTTTCAATTAATTCTGGTAGACTCGAGTATGGGAAGTACGGACGAGCTTAGACACACGACCACTTTCCTCGAGGTGTAGAGAGCAACTGGCAAATCGTTTACTTACTATAATAAATAAAAAATAAGGAAGGACCTAGAGCAATTAAAACCGCGATGAGAATAAAAGCTTGTAAATTTAAGGATCATCAATCATTTACGAGTGTAAGAAGTTATAGGTATAGTTAGCAGTTATAGTTCATATTTAATTAGCATGATTGTTTATATTAGCTATAATTTTACAATTTTGTCCTGGCAGAGACACCGCTACTGAATGGGTCGCGACTGCTGTTGAATTAGATAAACCTATCTGGAGCATATCTTTTTCAAAAAATTTCTTGGTGTTTGCAGGGAAAGGCAATTGGGTGGTTAATGGGTGGTTTTTATTAAATGGTAAGCGAAATTGGATTTCTTTTAAACAAGATTTTTGCAGTAGTTTTCATTAAATTTTGGAAAAGCTATTCGAGAAGCTGTTAATTTTGTATCCGATGGCTATTATGATTTTGGTGTCTATGGTCGCTTAAAATATCAATTATTTATACTCGTGGCACTTTTTCCAACACTCAAACTAATATCATGATTATAGATGGCATATTGAATTTGTAGCGGGTGCTGTACACAATTTTGGTGAAGTTTCTGAGCTATTAACTTTTCTAGAAAATTCCACTTTTTAGACTAACCGCGTCCCAAAACATGTACAGTTTACGATATCCAAATGTGAAAGGCGAAGTGTTATGGTGTAATTTAGACTGCATCATAGACTTCCAATTGACAGCTATTTTATTATTATTATAAAATAGCTGTCAATTTATTAAACGAAAATGCCTCAGCATCTAACAGAAGCTCAAATGTTAAGGGCCATAGCAAAATTGGAATAAAATTTGTCCCCAAGTGAGGTGGGTGCTGATTTAAATGTTAGTAAAAGCTGCATATTTTTCCGAAGAAAAGACCTTCCAGTCATTAAATACTGGAATACCGACGGAGGGGGGGAGACTTATACGTTGGGAAAAAGAAATAGTGGACGCTTTTCCTGACTTAAACCCTATGTATAGGGCTTCATAGTAAAAAAGTTATATTAAAGGGATTTTAGGCTAGCGAATCGCGAACAATTGTGGCACGCTGTTGAAAATACTTGGGAAGAGCTTGTTGACATGTAACATTTAATTATGTCCATGTCCAAAAGACAGGAGAGTGTTGTGGCAGGTAATGGTTATCCAATGAAATATTACTATCCAAAACGCTTTTGACGAATTTGTTCGAAGAGATCATGGACTTTATTCTTATTAAATATGCTTCTTATACCTTTTTAGAAATGTATTCGGGGGCCGGTCGACTTTAACTCACTCCGAATTTCCAATTTTTATTCACATCATTAAAAAAAGGGTGTTTTAAATAGTCAATATCAAAAATAAAAAATGCGGGTTTTTAAGTAATTTTTGAGAAAATTAAGTTTGAAAATGTAATTTTTAACAATTTCTTTGACATAAAATGTCAGATTCGAAGCAATGTTGCCAGATGTAATATTTTTACCTTGTTTAGGGAAATTCGGTATGCAACCCAGATTGCATTCTAAAATAGGTATTATTTATAAATATGAATTATACCATAAATTAAAGAACTCTATAGGTATATGTTGTGTTAATAAAAAATAATATAAAACAGATTTTTAAAATGTATTTATTAAGATAACAATTTTATATATAAAGATTGTACATACTTTTTAAATTAATAGATGAAACAACAAAATAAACTCTTAATTACCTATGCAACAAATATAAAAATTAAATATAACATTAATAGTGTCTAATTTAGGGGCCTAATATTTATTTTCATATTTTATCTTTTGTAATTTCAATTCTGATTGATTGAAACTTAATAGGTATGTTGTTTTACTCTGTGGTATATACAAATTAGTAGTTTACCTATTTTTCCAAATAAAAAAACACATTTAAAAATTAGAGATAAGTACAAAAACCATATACAAACAAATCACATTACTGTATAATATTTAATAAATACTATGTATAATAGTATATTATATATAATATACTATTATATTATACCTATAGGTATATGCACATTATCTGTGCATTATCTTAAGTTTAATACTATTTATGCTTTTTTTACTCCAATTAATTTTTATTATTAAAAAAATAAATTTTAACCTCACTTTCTCTCGATTTTAAAGATAATTATAGTTACCCTTTGTATACAGGGTGGTCCAGGATTAATCTGAAAAATTTTAATGATCGATAGAGCCTGAAAAAACAATAAAAACAAACCCAAAAACATTTTTTAAAAATACACACTAACAAACTAATAGCCCTTCAAAAGCAAAAAAACGGGTTTTTTTAATAACTTCTGCTCAAATTTTGTGTACCTAGGTAAAATTTCTTACAAAAGGCCCAGCGGCGGATATGGGGCGGTGGGGGTTTCCCCTTTTTACCCCCATATTTCGACACCAAAATCATTAGATTTCTTATTCAATTTAGAAGCAAAACTTGTGTGTTAAATTTTCATAAGATAGTTGTTTTCGGAGACTTTAAAATTTCAAAAACACCGAGTACACGGAATTTTATCATATTTTATTTTAAATCGGTAACTTGGTAACAATTATGCCACGTTATCAGTTTATAAAATTTTATAAAAATAAACTAGGAGTCATCGTGCAGTTGTTACTGATCCCGTCATATTTTTAGGTTGTTTTATTGTAACGTTGATTGAGGATTACAATCAACGTCTGTAATTAATAATTTAATTGTATTATAATACAAAATCAAACCAACCCAAAAACCACCCTATTGAAAGTGATTATTCCATAATTTCATTGGTAAATTTTTATTGGCCCAATACAATCGTTCAGAAAAAAAATAATTTTTTATTACTAAAATAATAACAAAAGTTCCGTGTACACAGTGTTTTGGAAATTTTAAACTGAAATATCTCCGTTGATCTGATAAAAAATAAACATAAG